TGAAAAAGGAAAACTCACCCGAGGTATTTCTGACCTAATTGGAAAAACTTAATTTCACTGAGCTCCATTCTTAAGCCTTTCTACCACTCTTATTTAGCATCTTCCTTTGTTCTCTAGACAGCTCTGAAGTCTGTGCCTGCACAAACATGGTAGTGTGAAAAGAGCACAGACTCAGGTTGGAATACCAAGTCCACCACCCATTAGCCTTGAGGGGGTTGCTCTGCTTAAGTCAGTTTCCTCATCTACAATGAGGGTTATAATCCTTACCTCCCAATACTTGTGAGAAGAAAGGGAGTAAATATATGAGAAGCTCTGAGCACTAGCCTGACATACTTGATCAGCCCTCAGTAAACACGAGCTGCCCCTCCTGGCAGTGGGAGCAATGGTTATTAGTCAGGCTGCCTCATACAATGCCTAGTGTGTAGTAATCAATGCAAAATAATATGATCTGTTGCTAGCTAGGATCTGATAAGCAAAATATATATACTTTATTCTGTTCTTTCTCTCTTTTAGAGATAGTGATATTCCATTGTTCTCTCCTACCCTGGCCAACTTGACTTTTCTTTGCCTTTATCCCTGCTGTTATTCCCTCTGCTTGGAATGTTGTTTCCACCTTTTAAACTCCTTTAGAATGCAGCTCAAATGTTACATTTCCCTTGAACTCTCCTGACTTCCCCAGACAGACTCAGTCTGTCCATCTTGTGGGTTCCCATGGCACACAGTTTGAGAAGACCTTTGTAAGAGCCATTATTTCATTTTTTAAAAAACGATTTGTTCATATTTGTTAATCTCATTAGACTATACTCTCCTTGATTAGGTGAACTGTTTATTTATCTTTGCTGCCCCCAGTCCATCATATAATACCTGGGCCATAGTTAGGTGTTCAGGATATCTTTCTCAGGTAGGTGAATGAATGTGTTCCACTCCAAGTTCCATGTTTGCACACCTCTAAGGATTTCATCTCTCCTCCCTTCCACTTCCTTCCTCTCGACTTCTTTTCTCTCCCCTCCCCTCCCCTCCTCACTTCCCCATCTGATCTACTTCTCACATAGACTGCTATTGTGGCCCCTGCCTGCCTCTCAATGCTTTACACCATGTGTCCATCATACAGGTTGCATGTTCTTGTTCATGACATTTCTCCTACCCAGTGTAGTCTGCTCCCATCTTGTCTCACTTCTCTGGCCAGCAATTCAGCCACCCACCAGCAAGCCCTCAAAGGCATGTCCCTCACAGTTTCCTGACACTTCCCCTTCTTCCCATCCACACGAGTCAGCAGCACAGCTCATTAAATAGCACTGAGCTTCTGCTATCAGCCCTGCTTAACAGACTCTTTCCAAGAGGCCACTATGTAAAAAGTGCCATGCAAGGTGCTTTCTAGAGCACAGGTGTGAGTGAAACACAACTCGTGTTTCCAAGGAGCCAGCACAGGAAAGAGGCACACATGTGAACAGCTGTCACAAGGTAGGCCCTGGGAGCTGCCATAACAGAGGTACCAATCCGAGGCTTGGGAGTTTTAAGGAGTGGAAATCACATTTAGTTGAAACTCTTTGAAAATATTTCAAAGATCTCCGGAAAAGTTTTATAAGGAATATCACATTTTAGGCTTATATTATGATAGAGATTGAGGGGAGAATATCAACATTACAAACAAAGGCGAGGAGGCCAAAAAACAGAGGGCAGGCCTGTGTGTGCTGTGTGTATGAGTGGGGGACTAGTGAGCAGAAATTATGTACAGCATAAGGCATTTTGCACAAGGCCTCAGGGAGGCCTTCATTCTTAAGGCATTCATTTGGCTGTCTGCCCATCAGGCGCCTTGAAACCTTACCCACAAGTCACTTCTTCCCAGATACCTTGACCTCTTAACCAACCCTGATCATCGCCCACTTGTAATTATTTGTAACTTGTGGGTGCACTGTATGTATCCCTTTACTTTTTGGTCATTTCCTGTGTTTCTCCCCAGACAGACATTCAGCTCCTTGGTGATTAAGACCAGGACATCTCCTTATCTCGATTTTTCTTCTTTTTCTGCCTTATCTCAATGATTAGAAAGGTGTCCTTGCCTACCAGGCACTAAGCAAGACCTCGATCTGAACACTTGCTTCATGTTATCCATGTCTCCCTCAGAGATAAACCAGACAGGATTCCTGTCCCCAGGGAGTTCATATTCTGGTAGCTGGTAATTAATTATGTACTTACCAGCAACTTGCCCTCTGTGTGTCTTCTGATTTGTACAATGGGATTAATAATCCCTTCCCTGCCCTCTTTAAATTTGGTAGTAAGGACCATGTATATAATAACACTTAAACTCTACAGCATTATAGAAATGTAAATTGTTAGCACCAAATGCTTTTTGCATGCGTGGAAGTCAGGAGTAATTTTCCTTCCTGTGCGCCCAGCCGCTGACCACATAGGAGTTTGAGCAGGACATTATGATTATGAGTAAATGAGAAACTAAAGAGGCTCTCCTATTTTTAAACTCCTTGGACACTGGTCCAGTGCTAGCTCATGGACGCAGTCATGACCACTCCGTGAACATTAACACTATTAGCAGATGACCAAGGAATTTGATCCCAAATGAAGCTCGGAATTCGTGGTAGTGACCTCCGGTGCAGGGCCTGGCCAGTCCTCAGCCCTCTTTTGCCTCATAGACAGAGGCCTTTAGGAGCAGGATGAAAAGTAGCCTTGTGTTGCTACAGGCTGGCCCCCTGGGCAAATAAGAAAGTGCATTGTCTGCGTCTAAATAGTCTAGAAGGATTCTTGTTGGAGATTGATGATCACCGTGGTAAGTCCTTCGAGTTTGGGAGAGTGGAAAGCAGAGTCCCAAGGGCTTCTGTCAGTGACAGGAGTCTGAATTGTCAGAGGGAACCATGGCCATAAAACTCCTGACAGAATTAAGAAATGGATGGTTGTCATCAGGAGCTTGAATTAAGCACTTGTCGTCTTGGGACGGTCTGCGAGTCATGCAGGAGCCCCTCACCCAGCTCTTCCTTCTGAAAGCTGACAGCCCAGACGGGGATGTCTTTCCTTTCATTCACGGCGTGGGTGTTTACTGAGCTGGGATACAAAGACAGAATTCAGTCTCTACTTTCACAAAGCTCACCGTCTACCTTACTAAAGGGAGTTATAGAAGCAGGGAGTTGGTGATGCTGAAACCAGTGTGAATATGATGCACAAGAAGAGGTCATGTGAAGTGGCTTGTCGAGGGTGCTCTCAGGAATTACAGGGAGGGGGAGTTGTTAGCCCTAAATAATCAGGAAAGGCTTTGAGGTAGAGGTTGTTTAAAAACAGTGTTGGCTTGAGAGAGAGCCCAGAATCCCTGGGAGGCAGTAAAGGCCCTGAGATGGGGAGAAGAGCTCTCTCAGCAGAGGTGGTCACACTCCACTACATAAGGGGCTCTAACGGGAAGGAAGGGGTGATGAAATGTCCGATGATGACTGTGATGATGGTTGCACAACTCTGAATATACTCGTAGCCATTAAAGGGCACACTTTCAGTGGGTGAATCATATGGTATATGAATTATTTCTCAAAGTTGTTTTTTGTTGTGTGTTTTTTTAAATCTAGAGAGGAATCAATTTGGCGACAGCAAGTCTAATAGGTCTGGGGTAAGAAAGGTTTAGGAAAGAGACTCCCGTCACTTACGGTATTAGGGCTCTAGCCTAAAGGAGTGTTGGACTGTGGAATGAAATGGACAGGTTGGCAGAATTTGCATCTGACAAAATGTCAGCCCAAAGTAACACATATGTGTAAGTTGGGTGCCTGTGCCGTTGATTTCACCAGGGTCCCAAGGCACAGAGTTGTGGAGAAAAGGGACCTCTCTTCTCTATGTTTAACTTAATTTGGAAGAGAAAGAGAGTTAAGTATATCTTGTAGAGAGGTTATTTATGGAGGCCAGAACCAAAGAGTAAATGAGTGGAAACAGATAAGTAGCTTACATTTGTGTCCCTGTCAGCTTGTTGTTGTTGTTGTTGTTTTGGTTTTTTTTAAAGATATATTTTATTCATTTTTTACAGAGAGGAAGGGAGAGAAATAGAGAGTTAGAAAGATCGATGAGAGAGAAACATTGGTCAGCTGCCTCCTGCACATCTCCTACTAGGGATGTGCCCGCAACCCAGGCACATGCCCTTGACCGGAATCGAACCTGGGACCTTTCAGTCCGCAGGCCGACGCTCTATCCACTGAGCCAGACCGGTTTCGGCTGTTGTTGTTTTTTTGTTTGTTTGTTTGGTTGGTAGGTTTTTTTTTTTTTTTAGGTTAAGTATGTGGATGATATCATTTTGTCCTTGACTCATCATATAGAAAAAAAACGGGCTTTAATCCTTTCTCTCTGGGCCTCTAGTCCATTAACAATGAACATAAGAAAGGTGTTAGAATAATAGGAGGTAAATCAAGGTGGAGTGGTTTTCTTTTGTTGCTGTTGTTGTAGTTGCTATTCTTTTGTGTATTATGGGGAGACTAGAAGCCTATTCTTTCCCAGGCTGCTCACCATCCAGCTTCAGTTTCCAAATGTTCATTCATTTTCAGGACATGGTTCGGCGAGGGGAAATCATAGACAACGACTCCGAAGATGAGTTCTACCTCCGGCGCTTGGACGCAGGGCTGTTTGTCCTCCAGCACATCTGCTACATCATGGCGGAGATCTGCAATGCCAACGTCCCCCAGGTAGGGGGACTCCCCTGGATGGGCCTGTCCATCGCTGCCACCTTCCTCAGCAGCTGCCTAGCTAGAGACTCTCAAAAAAGAAGTGGATCACACTCTCCTTGAATTCCTTCACTCAGTGTGGGCCTTCACTCTTTTCAGGGATGGGGGTGGGGTGAATACTCTCAATATGGTGTATTCTGGTGTCTTCTAGGACAAATGATACTTTTTCTTTCTCTCCCACTCTTCCCCTTCCTTACTAGATTCGGCAGAGGGTTCATCAGATCTTAAACATGAGAGGAAGCTCCATCAAAATTGTCAGGCACATCATCAAGGGTGAGTTGGCCATTGTTGTGCCTGGGGCTCCGGGGAATTCTGTGCTTCCTTTCTGAGTCTGTGTCAATATCCCTGGGATTTGGTGCACAACATTCTCTGCCCTGCAACCTTAGTGTGTTGTCCAGTTCACTGTGTGTCCAGGTCAGCGTTGTCAGAATACCATGGACTAACCTAGTTATTCTCTGCCTCTGACCCTCCAGTTCCAGAATTTAAAAAACACGTAGCAAACAAGAAGCACTAGAGATTGGAAACATTTGCTTGTTTGTTTTGTAAGAAAGATAAAACAAGAAAGAAAAAATGTCCTTCCAAACTGCATGTAGTAGAAGGAAATTGCTTTCTTGGGGCAGAGGGATAACACCAGAAAGTAGCAAGAAATGCTTGGAATTACGCAGGACAGAAGGAAGTGAATTGGAGGTGGTGCGCCTACCTTCCAGTCTCAGCTGTGCCTTCCCCAGCTGTGAGCGTGGTCCAGAATAAATGTTGCAAGGGTTCAGAAGATACTACATGACAGCGTCCAGTCTAGTGCCCGGCACACAGAAAGGGCTCCATCGGGCGAGTTTTCCTTCTTCCCCACCTACCCCAGGGAGGCCCTCAAACACTGTTGCATCTTTGGCTGGACCTGACTCAGCGGCTTAGTCACAAGACAGGACGCCTGAACTGAGCTCTGGGATGTATCCCACCCTCAGCCTCTTAGCACAGACTAATACACATGGCGGTGGAGGCCGAGTTGGACTTTATAGTATTGATAACACCAGAGTTCAGAGAGTCATGACGGATTGAGTAATAGCAGGCAAACCATTTTCTCTCTCTGGCCCTTGTTCTGCCCATTTCTAAGATGAGGGACTAGGCTAGATGTACTCAAAGGGTTTGCCTGTAAGTAGCTCATAATTCCCATTACAGGTGGGAGATGAAATGTGACGAGAAGTTAAGAACCATGGGATCTGGCTCCTAGAACTGAATGCTGGCTCTGCTATTTACCCTGTTGCCTCAGGCAACTTACCCAGTTGCTCTGTGACCTCATAAAATGGGTGAGAGGATTAAATGAGATGATATATGGAAAACGTCTGACCCTTAATAAGTCCTCAGTAAACATTAGCTATAATGAGTAATATGAAATATTGTGATAATTATCATCGTCATTATTATAAGTGAGGCATGGCTAAAATCCCATGGGAAGCCTTGTGAGAGTAGTAGCATTGAGCTGGGTCTTAGAGGCTGGGGCAAGTCCTGGAAGGTAGGAACAGTGTGAGTGGAGGCATGGGGATTGGAAATCTTGTGCTCTGTGCAGCCATCCCACGCAGGTGGGAATGGGGAATGGATGCGCCCATTTTGCAGATGGAGAAGATGAGGCATTGGGAGTCTTTTGTTTTCTCCCTCAGAGAAAGAGGAAAGGCGGAACCCCTTCATGAACCTAGCCCAGTATCTTACCTTCCATGGAGGCTTTCTGGGTGTGCCCTTCTCATTCTCAGTGTCACAATCGCATGAATTAACTGCTCAGAGTGTCATGCCACCTCCTCCCTAGGGTGTAGCTGCAGTGATTTGCAACTCCAGCCTTTAAATGCCATTTTCTTTTTACGCCCACATGTTCAATTAGAACTTTTCATTACTCGCAGCTCTACTCTCTCGTGTTTAGGCTTCTCCCTGCACCTCCATCCCTGTAATCACAACAATGATCTGAGCAAGAATGGGTCTTTAATGGGTGCTGACTTGTAGTGGGTGGGTGTTTTTCTTTCTGAAATCCTAACACATATAACAGTATACCTCAGGTTACCCAGAATTTTCAGTTGTGAGCCAGCCTTTGTCTCGTTCAGGTCATGGTTTATTCCCCCAGTGCCTTTTAAAGGGCCAGCACATCCTGGAGGCTGAATAGATATTTGTTGACAGAGGGTCTGTGCAAGTGACCAGGAGAGTGGCCTGCACAGAAGCCATGTTTGTTC